CACTTGCTCAGTGCCGCACTACAATTGCACTGCTACTGGGTCTCTGTGCTGCTGGAAGTTACTATTGTATTCACCCAATATCCTCACTTCTTTCATGCTAGCTATGGTTCTCTCTGCTCCCAGAATGGCATTACTTCTGCCAGGCTTTTGAATTAGTATCCTCAGTTGACCTCTTATCTGGCTGGCTGGCTGTACTAGAAATTGCCTTTGGTCCAATCCTTTCAGTCCAGGTCATTCTAGGGAGGCAGGATAGTACAAGCAGATTCACTACACATTTGCCTAGGATGCTTCACTTACTGTATTTAATATTTTACTTATCACCATGTTATCTGCATTAACTTTACCTCTTTAGTTGCTCTCCTTTGCCTTCCTCACACAGTTACAGTACTATTATTATTATCTTTTCCTTAGGAATCTTTTGTTTTCATATTATAATGTAAAATTGTAAGGATTCCATATTCATTAACAGTGACTAATCTCAGTAAAAATATAGGCAAGATACTGCAGGACTGTTTTAACATAGAAAAGAAAATTCACACTCAAAGCCTGTATTTAAATAAGATTTAAAAAAGCACAAGATCACACAAGCAAGAAAATAAATAGCTACAATGAAAATGTGCCACATGTCTCAGAACACACAACCACAACAGGGTGTCTTCTTTATGACTGTCTTAATGCACTACAATATGCCTAGATATTGAAGGACATATGGTATATTTTCTCCTTAATTGCACATTTCTTTTCTAGTGTGAGTTAGTTTCTGCCCTAGCATTATTTAATTGTAATTTGGATGTGTAAATCTAGATCACCACCAAGAGTTTAAAACGTGAGTATATTTTATTCAGTTGTTTCTCCCACCTCTGCTCACCTCCATTTTCAAAAGTATAGCCTCCTTATTGTTATGAAGGATTTTGATGTTTTCACATATTTTTTTCTGTCTGTTACTCTATTTCCAAGATGACAAATAGCGAGGAGAGGTTGTCTGTGAAGCTAACCTTGGCAGAATAGTACATATGACCTCCTGAGAAAACTGCCTATTGGGATTAAGTTAATGGCAAGTGAGGAATTTTAGCCCCTTCAGGACTGGACCAAAACTCCTCATTTCATTGAGACTACTTTACTTCTGAAGAAATCTTTCTTCACTTTATGTATGTAGAAACCTATGAACTGTTTCCTACTGAGATCTTGTAACAGTACTGAAAAATGTATCCTGCTGCCCAGCTCTTGGCTAAGTCCACTGTCTCTGTGTCAGCTTTATTTGAACAATATTATCTGAATTAGAAAAGCCAGGAAAGAAGAGGGATGAAGAAAAAATCTATTTCATGAGCAAACAGGCACAGAGTTGCCGGCTAGACATTGTAACACTATTGTTTTCAAAACTGCCAGGCAAGAAAGAAATAAAAAACGGGAAAGTTTCAGGGTGCCTCCACCTGCTTTTACCTGCTTGATAGAAAGTTCCAATATCTGTTATAAGCTTTAGAAGGACTCTAACAAACTGGGTGTTTATCATGACTCCCCAGTAAAAGCCTGGATATATTGTTGACAATGTGCAGTGCTTATTGTACATTTACCTTGGATAGGTGAGAAGCAAGTGGAGTATCTTTAGAGCTTGTTTTGATACTTTGGGTTTATTAGCTCTGGCTAATTTAGCACAGTTAGTGTATTTGAAGCCCTTGCCAGGTGAGACTGTTTTCTCATCTTGACATGAAAAAAAGAAAACAAAATATTTTAAATTAACAGCATGAGCACAAAACAGCAACAGCCAGTTTTCACTGACTGCTGTAAGCCTGATCCTGGAACTGTTTTTGCTGTGTCAGTGAATTCAGTTGCAATGCTGGGCCAGCACCTTGAGTTCTGCCTATTTGAAAGGGTGGGTTTTGTAACACTGCCCAAATTGTGTTTCTAAACATTTGTTTGTTAACAATATATGCAATGAAGAAACACAACCTGACTGGGGGCAATGCCCCTTTGATTGTGATTTGGTGCAACTCTTTCGGTGCTTTTTACTCTGTAAAAGGGATTATATCAGGAGTAGAAAGTTGTCTTGAATTTATTGTATTCATTGGCTAGTTTCTTTTTGCCTAGTTCTTTCCATTTTGACATTTATGTTTTGCTTTGGCATTTGTGTAGAATATTAATAAAGAGCAATGCTTGAAATATGAACCTATGTGTTCTGATATAAAATGAACAAGCCAAACACTATTGCACATTACAATGGCATTGGTGGCTCTATCGTCTTCCAGAGAGACTACAACAAAACCAAAAAAATCCCTGTGATGCTAAATTTTTACTCTAGTATCTGTCGTGTTAGTTGCAAGTATTAATATTTAGAATAAAAAATGCATGCCATGTTGAACAGTCAGCATTAATGGGAGCAAACAGTACCATTGCAAGGAGAAAATCTTTCAGAGTCCTGATTTTATTCTTCAAAAGGGAATCTCCTACTAGTAGGAATGTATGCTATAAATAAAGAATAACATAAGAACGTCTGATGTAATTCTCCTTAGAGCTGAACATTATATAAGAATTCCTAGAGATTAACATTTTATTTCATAACACACAGGGAAAGTACTACAGTGCAGTGACTTCACTTGTGAGTGTCAGTAACAAATCAGAAAAGACACATTAGGGATGCCATCTACTACCAAGTATTCTTGTAGCAAAAATAGCAAAGATGTTGGTGACTTGCCTGTTCCTCTGAAAGGCAATAGGATTGTGGTGAAGAGACTTCCCTGCAGGGGTTTGTGGCCCAACATAACTTAGACCTATAGCTGAAAATAGGGGATGAACATAATCATGGGATGAGTGGAACAAGCACACTATTGTTCCTTGTATTTCAATTTAGCATACTATGGTGTTATGTATTATAAGGTAAGATGTGAGAGAGATCCCAGAAAGCATTCACTGCACACTGAAACCCCAGAAGTTTGGCTGGAGGGCAGCATAGGAAGCATAGCCCTGAAGCAGCAGAGTCCCCGCAAGAATCAAAATAGAAATCAGCCAATCTGGTAATTCTAGTCCTTACCTGAGAGGCAAAAAGGACCTTTAGCAATCCCTACAGATAGGTAGTAATGGTACTAGACACAGCATCAGCCACAGAAGTCCACACCGCCTTTGCAGATCCCTCTTCTTCCTTCTCCCATTCTCAGTCTGATTTGATTTCCCAGTTTAACTCTAACATGTGCATCCTTTTGGCTTTCTACTTTTTAGTTCACTTCCTTTGTTCATATTACCTTTATATTGCTTTTTCTAATCTCAGAAGTGCAATATCATGGACATTTTTACCATGTGTTCTTTTGTGATAAAACTTAATTTCTACATATAGTACCAACTCAGTCACTGTGTATTTCATTAGCAGATCTTCAAGATTATTTCTTTTGCTGTTAAATGAAAACATGCAATGAAACACAGGAGCAAGAAATACAAAAATAAATTGCCTCAATGTTTTTGTCAGTGTTATTATCAGTGGTGCCGTTTTTTTTCTATGGGACCTGAGTGGCAAGGAAAGCAACAATACACTGAACTCCTGCAAATATGCTTTATGAGTATTACTATACTTGAAAAGAGTTTGAGAAAATCTGCTCTGTAACTAAAACCTCCAATGTGTATTTAGTAGTAGCAGAGTGATGTGGTAGCGGTGAAGGTCCAGGAATTATGTGAGAAGCCAGGATTTCTGTGGGTGATAAGCTTTTATTGGACCAGCCGCATGGTGAGATAGACTTAAGCTTTCAAAGGTGAAGCAGTCTTTATCAGGAACATTTATTTATTATTTTCTACTCATTAAGATCCTTTATGTCCCATGTGATTTATGTATTTAAAATGTTCAGATAATCTTGGAATTGGAAGCATTTGGATTCACCAGATACATACATGTAAATATAAATAAATAATAAATTACTCTGTGTGTGTGTGTGTGTGTGTGTGTGTGTGTGTGTGTGTGTCACACATACCATACATTATATATACACACACACACATAAATTAATCCTATAATACATATGTGATATATGATAAAATGTATAATTATACATATGTATAGATGTGTGTGTATACATACACACGATACATATATGATAGATACACATATGTATTTATCATATGTCATTGGTCCAATAAAAGATACCACCCTAAGAAATCCTTGCCTTGCATGATTTCTGGACCATTTCAGATACATCACTCTTACGCTACTGTAGGTATGTATAAACACACACACAAATCTATACATATGTGTGTATATGTATGTATGTATACATACATATACACACGATAATATATGATTTATTATACCAACACATTTTTATTATTACTATACTTGAAAAGAGTTTGAGAAAACCTGCCCTGCATCTAAAATCTCTAACATACTTACAGACAAGGTTCTTTGGGTCAAACTGATCTCTTTTATTAGACCAGCTCAAATCTGTAGGACCAAATTTGAGTTGGTCCAATAAAAGAGATCAGATTGACCCAAAGAACCTTGTCTGGCTGTGTCCTGAGACCAACATGGCTGCAGCCAACACCCCTGTAACATACTTACACGCATCTCTGAGCATCTCTACCTAAAGGCATCTATACATAGCAATACCTAAATACACTCGTGTATTTATCACATCGTAACGCAACGTCGTATAGATGTCCGACACATCTATCAACAGATGACATGGCATTCTATAAAGGCAATCAGGACTTGTAGTAGGGATGATCTCTTGGATTAGCCCTTCAAGCTTTTTGCAAAAAAATTATTATTTTTTTAATTTCATTAAAAAAAAAGATATCATCTCTAGTACGGGTCCTGACTGCCTTTTCCTCTAGCCCGATACGGCTACAACCTGATTGCATTCTGTATACACGCAGACCTGTACACACACACGCACACCCACTATCAGATCAGTGATGACGCGTCAGGCTGTGCCCGCTCCCCACGCCCGCCGCACGCCCAAGTGTGTGATCCGGACCCCCGG